ATGTAGGTGTTGAGTGGAGAAAGGGGTGAGGGGTTCAAACTGCTTGTAAGACTCTATATTGTGACCTGTGAAGAAATTAGACTTCTGTGATCACTGTGTGAAAAGTCATTGAGCCATACCCTTCTTATCTTGTCCTTTTCTTTATATATGCTGCACCAAGACAAAAATAACGTTAATGAAAATAATGAGACAAGGTCAGAAATAGCACATTTCACTATCATTTTCCCACTCTAATTAATGAACCAAAAATGTTAAAGAGCTTGACAGATCATTTAGTTGTATTGAATCGTTTCCCAAGAAAGAAAATGGGGACTCTCAAGAAAGGTTACTGGAGACTTTCCAAGATGTGAGCAATACAGACTGATGGTCACATCATCTCTGAGCTCGCCACCTTCCGCCCACCACCTAGTACTGTCTCTTCTTCCTCTTACAGTCTCAAGGGTTCTGCGGAAACTCCAGCCATGGCTTGCTTGTTTTCCTTAAAAATTACATAGCGGAGCAAGATGAGAACTGAACATATTATTTTCATTAGGGACACAAGTCCAATGGGATCTTGGGTTGAGTCACATTTTCTCACCCACAGAGGTGGCACAGGGCATGGCAGGGGATGCAGGCACTCCTCAAGGTCCTAGTTCACTGTGGTGGCCATCATCTCATGAACTGACGCATGGTAACCCATGCAGCCAGAGGGAAGGCATGTTCACTAATCTATTGGATGATGCAATTTTTAAAAAAGTAGATAGAAGAGGAAGCCCCGTTGTCATGAAGTGAAAAACGATGGGCTAGAAGTTCCCTATGTCACAGACCTCCCAGAGGCAGACGTGAGTAACTGTTACGAGGTTTGTGTCTTTTAGTAGGAAATGACACATGGCTTTATTGACACTGATGAGTTTCCCCAAGTAGCTAACCTTCGTGACTCTACCAAGAATGGAGAAAAGTTGAGCTGACAACTTTAGGCCAGTTCTTAGTATACATATTTTCCATCTAACAGATGCCAGCTTGCTCATAAAGAGGAGCAGAGTCGTCCCTAAGAGCTCACCATCCGTCCTTACTCACTGTTGGGATCAGATCCCAACAGCTACCTAACTGGTAGAGGATATGACACAATCATGATTACTTGGAAATTAGAAAGTCAGCCAACATGCCAAAGAAAGCAGGCAGTCTGGGATTCATTAAATCATTGAAAAATTGAGGGTTAGCATGCTATAGGAGTGTCCAATTTGCAACTGCTTTTCAAGTAAAATAAACCTTCATGGTGAATCTGACAAGGAAAAGTTCCGTTGGAAATTTTAATCCTTCAAAAAATTTGTGAGGATATAAAACATTCTGATTTGAAGATCAAAACCCACTTTTAATATCCTCAAATAATTCTTCTCTGACTATGTCACTATTTTCTTCCTATACTTTTTGACACTATCAAACATTTTTTAGACTCTTTCATGATTTACTTCTCACTGCACACCCAAATTCGCATCCTCTCATTCTCTAAGCTGTCAGAACATGATTCAAAATATTAAAAATGTTGATATACTTTCCTCATAGCCACTGGGATGAAAGAGAGATTTTTAAAATTCTGGAAAAAATCCCCTAGAATTATGGAAAAAAATTGGTAATAGAAAACTCTAAATTTTCCTTGTTAATACAAATAAGAGCACAGTGAATTTAAAGGGGGTGACCTTCTTATTACCAAAGTCAGATTTCTTCCCCCATATTGAAAACAATGTGAACAACAGTTTAAAAAAAGATAAAAAAAGTAGCACGGAAAGTTCTATTATGTGCATGTGACTCCATGAGATTGTACGCAGAATGACAAATGTTAAATGTGAGCTAGAATGTCCTGTGCGTGCTAGCTTACTATTTATTAGCAATGTATTTTTCAGTAAGATAGAGAGCAATAATGACCAAGTGTATATTCCTAGAATATAAGTTTAGATTATCAATATATAGGTATTATCCACAAAATTCTCACCCATCCTGTGTGGTATAAACTCTGGAAGCAGTCACCATCCTTTAGGGGGTATAGCATCTTGACTGAAGTCTTAGAATAAGAGCACAGGGAAGGACCAGCTTGAAAGCTCAGAAGTCCTGGAGGATGGTGGCCAAGAGACTCGCTCAGAAGATGGCTATGGGATGTTCTAGAGAAGAGGACAGGGAAGCAGCTAGCAGATATTCCCCCACCATACAGGTAGGCACTGGGGAAGCAGTTTACAATCATGGAAAAAAAAACTAATAGAAGTGCAGGCTGATCCTGCTCAGATACTGTTCTAGAAATTTGATGACTTGCCTTGTGCAACAGAAAAAGAAAAAAAGAAAAAAAGAGCTAAAGAGCCTTAGTAAACAAGTAAGAAGTACAGGAAGGGAAGGGGGGGAAGAGAGAGAGACAAAGAGCAAAGAGGGGGAGAGAGAGAGAGAGAGAGAGAGAGAGAGGCCAGGGGGACACAGTGTAAATGGATGTGAAGACTAAGTTCTTAATTCTTACTTTGGAGTAACCACTTTCTAGTTTTGACTATAAGAACATACAGGTGGCCAAGCCTTGGAAGGTATATGTCTGGCTGCCAACCTATTTTTTTCTTTCACTGACTTGGGTGGATCCCATGGAAACTGCTCCATTGGTATACACAGTGTCTAAACCCACTGCATTCAGTAAATACATGTTGACTTTTGTAGAACAATTCTAGCTCAATAATGCTGCTGTTTCAGCTTTGTTTTCCTTAAAGTATTGGTATTTGTTCTACTTTCTAGCAATACGAGCAGACTATATTTCCTTTGTTTCCAAATTACAAACTCCCATATCACAACGGGGTAGTTTTTTGTATCCTCTCCTTTGATCTTCATTTGTAACTTTCCTTTGCTTTTCAACTTCATCTAACTTTTAATTTCATGAGTTACTCTGTGGTTTTTGTGAAATCTTCAAATTCTTAGAGTGGTTATGTTTGTGAGCTTTTTCTCAGACTACATACCATTGAAATAAGAGAGATAATTTCCACACTTTCTGACATAGATCTCAGAAATAGGATTTTTCAAAAAATATTGAGAATGAATTTAATTGAGAACCAAGTACAGGAAGCCCCTTGCCTTTTATTTCTTGCTGGCATTAGTGTGTTTTGAACTTAAGGAAGCCCATTCTTTGTTTGGGAATCAATTGGCTATGGTGAGTCAGTGCATCTGATAGAAGAGCGATGTGTCTGCAGAAAGACATTTATGTCTAGTGTATAAAACTGCCCTTCATCCTAAATAACAGATGTCCCTTCTGCGGTCAAAGAAACAATACTGCTCTCTAAACAGCAAAGGTAGAAATTCATGTGTCTTCTATGAGGAACAAAAACGACAAACTGTAGTTGTTCCAAGGGCTGCCATTCGGTCCAGAAGAGCGTGTTCAGATGGAAGGGCAGGGATGGTGGGGGATTGAGGGTATGTGGCACAAGGAGCCCACACCAGCAGGTCCAGTACATGCCCTGTGTGTGCCATTTCCCACAAATCTGTCCCCTTCAAAAAATAAGATGTGTTTTCTAAACAAAGGCTCTTGTTTAGAAAGAGCCTAAGTACTCTTAATACTTGTGTTAGTTAGACTTTTAGTCAAAGAAACAACTTAAGGGAGGAAAGATTTATTTTGGCTCACAATGTCAGAAGTCTCAGTTCATGGTCACTTACTTGACTCCATGTCTCTAGCCCTGTAGTGGACACTGCATCATGGTGGTAGGAGATGGTAGATGCTGCCTACCCTGTGACAGCCAGGAAGCAGTGACAGAGGAAGGGACTGGGGACAGGTATAACATTCAAAAGCACACCCAAAACAACCTACTTCCTTCAATCAGGCCTCACCTCATAAAGTTTCGAGAATCTCCCAAAATAGCACCACCAGTTGGGGATCAGGTGTTCAAACAGGAGCCTTTGGGGGACATTTAACATTGACACCATAACAGTGCTTACAGATAAAACAATATAAACAATGTTTTTTTGGGATCAGTGGAGAGAGGTCATGTCCAAGATCCAGAATGCCTGGGGTCTACCCTCAAATTTGCCAACACTAGCTGTTCCCTGAAGGTTCTAGGTGTTTTCCTGCAGCACCATGTTAGGTGGGTGACACAGCACAGATGGCTGTCTTTACCAACCACCATGTCCTTTCACTCAGAGTTCATGATAGACGATATTTTGAAGCCCTCCCCACCCACTCGGGTATTCTCTGGGTTCTTCCTGCAAAAACCTCACCCTGCCCCAATGTTCTCTCTTCCCCCAGACCTGCATGGAGAACTGAGTCCTGGAAGAGAGAGGATAGGGTGGAAGAAGTGTGGGTCTTTGAATGGTTGCTTGGAGCAGAGATTTTGCTGGCTGGCACTGCAGTGTATCACTGATCAGAAAAATCTGTTTTGCCTGAAGGATTAAACTTTTAATTCACAGCCAGTGAGATTTGGGGGATAGTACATTTAACTACCAGATCTAAAAGTATTTCTTAAGACCCATTTTGTTTGAAATTTTAAAATCTTCCAACTACTTTTTACCTCCCCAGCGTTTTATACTCCAAATGAATTAGGGGTATAATAAAAATTTCTGAAAACATTTCCTAAAATTAAGGATTTTAAAGGCAGAGTAAGGTTTCCTACCTAGTGAGAAATGTATTTTGACAGAAAGCATTAAATTTTCTTTATCATTGTGCACACAGATGTATACATGCTAGATCTTCCCATTAATTAACTAGAGATGCCTAGCTAATAAAAGTGACAAACATTTTTTAAAAGATTAAACGATAGTTGCAATCCTTTGGTTTGGTAAGTGCTGCATGGGCTTTATTTGAGCCTAAAGATCAGTTTGAGATTAAGCCGGCAGGACTGGAAGTTCCAAGGAGGTGTTCAGCAAAGTCCTTGTTCACTGAGGGTCTTGGCACCTTCAGAGGAGACCCATCCGGGAGGCCCAGCTGAAGCTGCCTGCACAGGATGAGGATGAGTAGGCAGCCACCATCAAAAGCACAGAGAGATCACAGATGGAGCACAAGGTGTGCGTACCTTAAAAATTTGTGCAGATACTGGCGGCTGCAGGGTGACCAGGAGAAGACCCCGTTCCGTCCTGCCAATGTGGGGGACATGATGCTACCTTCAGATCTTCTGCACGTGTTCCCTTCCCCGTCATGGACCATTCCAAAGCTGCACGAGAGAGAGAGATGGCTCATTCAGAACACAGAGCAGCTTCAAGGACCTCACAGGCTGAACAAGTACAAAACATGGAAATCCTTCCTCCTCTCTTTGTAAACTGGCCGAGACCACTACGGGGAGGGGACTAGGAAGTAGTGAAGAGGTCTGGGAGGGCTGAACCAATGTGGGTGTAACACACAGGTGCATGGAAGCAATGCTAGGAACCTCTGTATGGCTATCTTTATCTCAAACTAGCAAAAATGCTGTTTTTCTTCTTATCTCTTAGGTCTTCTCTTCAACAAAATTGGAGAACAAGAAGGCAGAACAGGTTCTGCCTGGAAGCGAGGGGTGGGAAAGGAGAGGTGGCCCAAACAATGTATATACATGTGAGTTAATGTAAAAATGATGAAATAAAAAAGAAGGCAAAACTAAAAGTCAAATTGGTGAGAATATTTCTGTGGTCACAGACCTTGTCTGAAGATTGAATCATTCCTTCAGCTGTTGAAAGGGAACACTGAAATCAAACCAAAGCCAGTGTCCAGATGACTGCCATAGTGTAGACATGTTAATAGGAGTTGACAGAGATGTCTACACCCCACGACGCCAATCAGCATCCCCTTACCCACCCTTGTGAACACTGCAGTGCTGCACCTGTGAAAGCCACAGTGCCCGAGATGCCCCCTCCTTCCATCTTCAGGTCTCCCAGATAGCTCCTGAAGGGCTCAGTTATGGGAAGTACATTCTTGGGGAGCCATTCCTTTTTAGCCACTACTGTTTGGTTCTCAGTCATGGCATGGAGTACAGAGATCTGAGTGAGTGAGACACAGAAGAAAGCAGGACACCAAGAAGAACAGGATGTTACAGTTCTGGGGGCATACTGCAGCCACAAGTCCCATGAGTGGAGAGCAGGCAGCAGGGGTTGGGAGACTCCCACTTGGGGGGAGTGGACTGCAAAGAGAACAAGAGAATCTGTACTTGTTGCTGAGGTTGAACACATCTGTGCACTTTTTTGCTTAGAACTACATGAAGATACAGGCAAAAAGTAACATTTGTAAGCATCAGTGTTTTGCAGGCACGGTGTTAAACACGAGTTGTATTTTCTAACTTTACATCTCAATATCCCCTTCAGGTAGCCATAGGATCATAATGACAAGACTGAGGGCTGGAGGGGAACCTCGTGCAAGGTTGCAGAGAGAGACCTGAAGTTCAGGTCAGGGCCAGGCAGGACGGGCGCAATAGGGAAACCCGAACATGACTGAAGGGTGTATCCAAGATCCGGCAGACAAATATTGTCGAGTTTCTGCAAAACTTCTGATCAGTACCAAGGATGACATGCATGTGGTCATTTTAACCTCCACCCACCCTCGGATGTTCTGCTAAAAGCAATTAATCAAGATCAAGGCAACCATACGGCAGAGGAAGTGTGTCATGACTGCAAAAATGTTTCGGGGTGAAATCCCAGAAGGGAGGCTGCCCCGGGGAGGAAGCAAGGAAAACCAGCTGCTGAATCACGCTTCCTGGAGTGACCCGGGAGGTGCACTCTGGTCCGGCAGCTGGCCTAGATATGTGTACTGCCGCTGAGTTTATAAAGAACTCAAGTAACCGTGCCCCAAGTCTAGGGAGATCTTGCTTTTCAACTCTCATCTCAGGTATTTTCCGTGATTCCTCCTGGCATCTAATTTCAAACTCTGCTATGCACTAGGACATCTGAGAAAGACACCACACAAGGTGACTACCTGAAGCCTGTCCTGAAAGATTTCTGGGCTAGCCATAGGTTGAGAGTTCAGATCCAGGCATTTGTCTGCATTTTCACAAACCCCTTGTGAGTCCTCAGCACCACCATGTCGTAAGTCATTTCCCATCAGCACGACTCACAGATTGTGCTGTGAAGAATGTGCCCATTAGAGAAAAAAGTACCATGCAATGACATTTGATTTTAACATTGAAGTCATGGGAGAACTAGTAGAACACATCTTGATGATAAGGTTGGTATTTGCTAACCAAGAAATATAATTACTACTCAAGCTATACAGGCCAGATCGTTTTTTGTTCCTGTGCATAACAGCAATTTATTTACAATAGTTATCAGGCTGTATACTAAATTAATAAATACATCTTCTCTCCTTATGCGTAGTAGTTTGTAAGTTTCCAAAGGAGTAAGACTCCTCTCATCCATGCCTACAACCCCACAGCCAGTGAAGTCCGGTGGACTGGAGAACCAGCCTATAGCAGGCTCTCCATTTCTGTTCATTGACGGAATAAAGGACCCCTCTGGTTAACACATTTACCGAAATGTAAGCCTAATTTCAGATGTGAGAATTATATTTGATATTAGATGATTTTAGTGTCTGCCACAGCTTTCTGAATAAATCTACTACCATCAGGAAGCATTTATTATTCATTACTAATGAATAACTGCAGAGTGGTAAGCAGACATTTTTAGACATTGTATCAATTATTTCAGGCTGTGTGGACAGTGTGGTTAAGGAAATGAGACACCCTTCAAAATAACAATGGTCCAACTTCATCTGGATGTTGGAAGGACACTGACAACTTCAGGTAGGACTGGGACACCCAGGGTCCTGAGAGGCACAGCTCATCCTCCTTGAGAGGCAGAAACTAAAATGGAGTCACCAGTGGGGTCAACCAGAGGGAGCAGGGGTTGTGCAGGTGGGGCCTTGGTCAGGAGCTTGGCTCCTGACCAGATGGTAATTAAAGAACTCAGGATGATGACAGAGCACAGTCATGAACTGGACCAGGGAAGTAGTGGTGAGCCAAGTGAGGTTATCACCTAACTGGTTGCAATCTTCATTCTGCTTCTTTGAAGGTGACCTTCCTGATAGTGCCTGGGTGGTCTCTTGCAATGCTCATAGCCCTCATTGCTGGGTCATTTGCATAACATGTCTATGTCTTCTCCTGTCTTAGACTTTTTGAGGGCATCGATCAACAGTCTTTAATAAAATCCTACTCAATGCCTTGCTGGCAGAACGTAAATTGTGTCCATGCATAGGTCAAAAGACTTAGGGAAAGACAAGAAAAACAATGCTGGTTGTGAGTGCTTCAAGCACAGTCAACTTGTTTCTCAGTGTCGTAGTGTTCTGAGGTGGTAATGCAGACTGACTGTGTAAGTCTACTCTATTTACTGGAAAGAGCACACATGTGCGAGGGAGCTCACAGAGCTCTGTTGGTTTGGTAGATGGGAAGACTAACTCAGAGTTGATCAGGGGATGATCCCTGGATGCTGCCATGTACAATAAAGCCTCAGTGCATCTGCAGCCTGAGTCTCCTGGCCCTACCAAATGCCCTGGCTTCTCTTAGCAGATGGGAGTTTAGGATTCCCAGATGACATGTTCTCCAAAATGCACAGCTCAGCCCTTGGTATGTCTGTGCCAATCCTTCAATACCTGCGTCTGGCAAACCACATGTTCTGTGCTAAGGGATTTAATAAAACCAGGAAAGTCTCCTGGGACCACCAGCTCTGTAGCAATCTGAGATCACTGTGTACTAAGGGAGATCACTGGATTCTGGATTCCTCTCCATTCCAACACAAATTCAAACCACTGTCCTCAGCAAGTTCAATTTTTAGATCAGATTCCTCAGTATAAACTACAAGACAACAACTGAACAGAGTAGAAGAAATTGGATGGATATCAGCTGAAATCTTCCTTTGAGCTAAAGGTTAGAAAATCTCCAGCTTCCAGACTTGAAGAAGCACTCTTCCAGTCAATAATGACCTCTGAATGTGGACACAAGTATGTAAAATCTGAAGTACAGTTCACCTTTGGTACAGGAGGTTTAATGTCTTCCATAATAAAAGTCCAGGTAGGTGAAAACTTATTTTTCAATTGTTAAAATACAAAACTCAAAAACTTGACTCTCCTTGGAGCTCACTGCCAAAGACAAGATTAAGGCACAATATTGGTTATGATGTTTGATCCAAACCTTTAATTCCTCCTTCAAAAAATATTTAATAAGTCAGGAATAAATGGGTTTGACTTCAATTCATTTCAATTAAAATTCATGAAGGGCTTTATTAGGGACTCTGTGTGCCACAGCGTTTCTCACTTGAAGTTGTCACACCCAACATCTTGTTTGAGATTCTCACTCTTCATTTGGCCACTGGCTCCACTCATTTCCTCCATTCCATTCATACACATTTGATGGACACTCGGCCAGTCTCCCTTGCTAGGGAAGGCAGTACTGAAGGCTCAGTTTAGTTTACCTATAAAATTGCCACATGAATTTTCCAAAAGTGCTCTACAAAAAAACAAGTACTGCTGTCATAAGCATCGCCATTATTGTGACACGTTTTGGCCTTTAGTACAGCTGAATACGTGTTTCCTATTTTACCAGCGAGGTCAGAAGCTACTGCATTCACATCGCCTCTTCAAGGCTCCAGGGTCTCTGCTACTTTCACACATCCTGTAAACATCAGGTATTCAAGAAGGATCTGGTAAGCATATGGAGGTCAACTCTGTTAGCAAGGGACTCTCCTTCTTCCACACATGTAGCTCCTCTTTAGCTTCATCAACAGTCCCATTTCCAAAGGAAAATACTTTTCCCATTTAGAAGAAATTCTCTCACCAACTAGGCCCAGGCTGAGCAAGGAAAGGAAATATTGACTGATTTCTAAGGATAATGAATGCAAGCTGAATTTTGGATATCTCAAGTTTAACTTGGGTTAACTTCACCACCTGCAAAGGCGAGCAATGCCAACGCCTGTATCTCAACTGCTTATCAAATGCCGATGGGCTCAACCCTTGGTGACTTCAATATTCCTTGCCTTGATTGCTTAATTAAGTTCAGGTATGGTTCAGAGGACAGCAAGAGCCTCATGTCATTACAATAATGAAAGTTTTTGAAGTTTTAACTCTAGCAGACTATTAAAAATACAATTATGATTTAACTGAAAGCCTTGTACAGTGTAGGTGCAATTTTCTAAGCAATGAAATAGTCAATCATTACCTGAGTGATGAAAGGATCAGTAATGAGATTTACAGGTTCATTTTCAGACTTTTGGTTTACACTGAACCAAAGCCTGCAGGGCCTCTGTGAGGTTCCTCTGAACAAAGGCACACACATATGTACACATATGCACATGTGTGCATGTGTGCACACCCATGTGCACACACAAACATCCTGATGCTCTGAACAGGTCTGGGTGACTTGAGTCACTGACCTCAGTCCGTTTTCCAGTAGGGAATGGAGAAAGTGGCTTTGCAAAAACACAAATCACAAAGCACTGCCTTTGTTTTCCTATTGCCAGTTCAATCAGGTTGAAAGTAAAATTTTAAAAAATCATATAAAAATTCTATTTTCTAAGAGAAATTTCAAGCCTCATCAAGAAAATACTCATATTACCACTGCTGGCCTGGCCTTCATGCTCACAGGACACTGCACAAAGCACAGAGCTGTGTGGGAAGCAGTGGGGTCCTGAAAATTCTTTTTTTAATAGACAACACCTCAAGGTAAGTCAGTGAATGGAAGGGGCAGCGTAAGGAATCTTATCTAATCAATTGGGTTTTTTTCATTCTATAGGAAGTGACGGAAGATTTTTCATGGAGAGAGAGCATGCCTAGGACAGCATAGCACGTGTCTTGTGAGCCGTTTGCCCATGGCTGTCCACCCTGGCTGAGCCTCCGGACTCACAGTGCTGCCTGATGCTACCTCATTTCAAAACCCACAACGCAGAAGTCAGAGGCAGAATGTGAGAAGTTCTTCCAGATCCTGCCTTTTGTCTGTACCCATGTTCCCACACTGTGTGCACACTCCTATCAAAACATGTACCTCTGGGCACCTGTGTCCCACACTTATAATCTAGCTATGTGGGATGCTGAGATGGGGGAGGATGGAGGTTGTAGGGCAAAAAATGTTTGTGACACCCCATTTCAATGGGAAAAAGCTGGGCACAGTGGTGTGCACTGTAATCACAGTTAAAGTGAAAAGGGTAAAAGAGGAGACTTGTGGTCCAAGCAGGCCTGGACAAAACACAAGACCCTGTCTCCAGAACTGCCAGAGCAAAGAGGGCTAGAGGTGTAGCTCAAGGGGGAGAGTATCCCAAGCATGAGGCACTGAGTTCAAAGCCCAGTACCACCGAAAAGAAGTATCTTTACAAATGTTATATACCGATATATACTCAAACTCAAAAGTAACAAAGTAACATCCATGACTTTGAGATGGCTGGCTACTGTCCTCAGTCATTTGGAGCCCTCTGAGAGCAGCCAATTGTAAGATAAGATTAACCCACAGAACCAAGTTCAAAACATAGGACAGAAGAACAGAGACAATTCTCTTCAATCTTAGGCAGCAGGTTAATAGAGCGTAAGAGAAAATCGGAGGGACGTATGAGCAGTGCCAGGCCATGCACAACAGGTGCTAAAGTGGAAAGTAGCTAAGTGACCACATTGTATAGTGACAATCATGTCCATCTGTGTCCATTCTCTTCACAGACTTGACCAGCAGCATGGACATTTCTATGGTGATGCTCCACTTAGGAAAGGACCCTGGGCCCCACCCCACCACGGAGATGGACTTACCTGTGTCCAGACTCATGGGCAATGGTGAAGGCCAGTCCAAGTCCTGTGTCTTCATTAATCGTACAGCTGCGGTACTTACTACACATTCCACTTATGGGTGCAAATCCTGCAGGGCATAAAGATTTAGGATGAGAAAGCATTTTTATAATCAAATTAATAATTGTATACTAATTTTATGTCTTTGGATAAAATGTGTCTGTTTTCTTTAGTTTGGGGAAGGTGAGATGAGATGAACCACCCTTGGACAACCCTACAAGGGCGTGAGGTCTTGTGGGAGAGGGGAGCCTCCCAGGAGCACCAGGACTCTTGGCCTCCTGGAAGACAGTTCACAGTTCCGTGCAATGCTCCTGACACAGACTATAGCTGGGGCAAAATAGAAAAGGAGATTTATTTCAGATGGAGAATACGTTCTGACTTTTTCTACAAACATCTGTTCTGAAAAGCAGGAGGGGAGAAGTCTGTAGAGAACGGGTGTGTTGGGAGGAGCCCCATAACCCAGGTTCACTGATTCACCTGTGTCTCCCAGCTATGATTTGGTACGGCAAAAGGTAAGAGCAAAACCAGCCTACGGAAAAAGCACGTGGGGAGAAGTCTTGAGGGACAAGGAACCGGTCACCAGAGCAATGAAGTGTGACAACACAGGTGAGGAAAGGGTCAGAATTTAAACACACTGAGCCACTCTTACCAGTTAGGGTAGTGAGAAGTAAGTTCTCTGAGGCCAGCTAAGGGCCAGCCTTGTAAGCAGGCCTTGCTAAAGACAACAATCCAACCTAGATGCTAACTAACCCTTTCGTACACAAAACATCTTTTTGACTGGGTCCTATCTGAAAGCATTTCTATTTAAAACTTCTTCCTCCCTGTCAACTTGGGGAAGAAGTAGACGGTAAGAAAATAATGTTTTGTGGTGTACCAGTTAGTGGCACGCTCGTGTACAAAGGCCATTTGGAAAGGAGGCACACCTGTGCGGGGACATCTGAAGACTGCTAAATTGCTATTGCTGAGATATTTATAGAAAAACGGGAAGTGGTGAATACAAGGTTACTGTAGTATCTCTATCAGTATCATAAATTACCATTTCTGTCACACTCCGATCCTCTGACTCCCTTCTCACAAGTGCTGGGAGACATGGAAGATATTATTTCTTACTTTAGAACAGGTAGGGACTCTTGAATCTGTGAGGACTCTTCCTTCTATAATCACTTTTGATGAATAAAAGCATAGTTTTATATTTAGATAAAGTTTATAGAGGAAGTACAACTGTATTTCATAGCAGCTGCTCTGAGGGATATGGAAGAGGAATAAAAATACTCAAAGTCCTAGACCACGCACCAAAAAGGGACACCACACACATATATTCCTCTGATTTCTATTGGAGGATCTTACCCAACGTATCACAGGGCTCATTCTTCCAGGAACAAATATCCAGACCTGTCAGTAAGATGGCGTGGTCATGCCGAGTTCCATCTTTCCCCATCAGTCCAGATTGCCACTGGCAGAAGCTACTTAAGGTGTGGTCTGCATGGTGACTTATTACCAGCCCTGGCTGTGCAAGATGAGCCAAGACCCCATGAAAATGAAGAGAAAGCATGTTACAAGTCATTGTCACCACAGCAAACTGTCATGAACCTGGACTTCAAATACATAGTTGGATCTGAATAGTACATTAACTAACACTGAAAATCCCAAGGTGGGTGAGTTATATAAACCCTGAACAGACTCAGTATACTTGTGTATCTTTGTATACCGAAACAATTGGAATTTGTCTGACTCAAAGCACTTTCACTAAACCAAAAAAGAGAACATCTGAACATAATTCTTTTTGCATTCAAAATCTTTGAAAATCACTTTGCAAAATTATGTAAGTCAACAGAACCATTTACATAAGGCCTTGCACATGCATACACAGAACACACCTAGCTGGCTACATATTCATGTCTTAACCATGTTGAGCAAATAGCATTTCCCAGTTATGCCTCTTCTGATATTTATTACTGGAGTCTAAAGTACGTAACTTTCATATAGAGGCAACATGGTTACCAAAAGAGATACCCCTTCAAACAGAAGGGGACATTACAGAAGACATTCAATTGGATCTACAACTGATAGAGCAACAGTGAAATATCAGTTAGGATATCCAAACCCTTGGGAGTGGAGAAGTTTGGTGTGTGTGTGGGAGTTGGTTGGGGGGGGGAGGAGAAACCTGATCAGAGCAGGCTGCACTGAGTTATTTGAGCCCATTTGTAGGGATGCTATAGTCCCAATGGGTGGCCGGAGAACATCAGGTTGAATACCTCAATTTCAGTGCACCATCTTGTTAAAAGTTTTAACTGCTGTTGAAAAATTTGTCTTTCAGTCATTGAGTATTGTTTTCTCTGAGAGTCAAGTGTACCTAGGGCAAATGCTGTGGATAAGAACTCAGGCATGCCTGGCATTCCTCAGCTGGCATTTCCGCGGGAACCGCGCTAATTAAAGTTAACACAGGTGGATGATCAAACGATAACCTCGCTATTCTCTGCAGCTTGGATGAATTCCAAGGTGAAAACGGTTTAATACAAGGAATAATTAACCTGTCACCTGAGAAGCCCCGCTAGCTCAGCTTCCCTAACCATACACTCCCACAAAAGACAACGGGCTGTATCTTCCCTGACTAGTCAGCTAGACATGGCCGCCCCCACTCTGCAACCGAAAGGTCAGCATCCCAAAGATCTTACGAATAATCTCAGATTCCATCTAAAAAACTTTCTCCTTATAAACCAGAACACTGAGACTCCCGGGAGATTCCGACGGTGTCACCAAGGGTGGAAGTGAATGCTAGGTGCCTAACTTGGGTCCAGTGCCCACTCTCCTTTGCCAAGTCAGTGCCAGCTCGGAGAAAATAGAAGTAAGCCCTCATGACTAAGTCTCCTCATTACTGATGCCATGAAGTGCTGGCTGGGTACAGAAGGCACCTCTGTGCAGTTACAGGGGGTGGGAATGGACACAGAGGAAGTGGCACCCTGCCACTGAGGCCCAGCATAAAATCTGCGGCATTGAGCAAGAGCACTGAGCTCCACATCCCACCCTGTCCAGGAGAATGGAGATCTGAAGACGAAGGTCTCCAGGGTTACGAAGCAGCAGAATAAAGCAGTGAGGTGTCACACAGTGCAGTTCCACTGTAGGCTGGAAAACACTTTGAGTCTTCTCACAAAACACAGAAAGGGACCAATTCCAGCTGGCTTCCCTAAAGCTGGTGAAGACACATTTTGTCCTTTGTATCCCTGTGTGCTTCGCACCCACTGGCATAAGACAGCTTTTCTACTCGTTTTTCCTGCACAGTTAAAAGAGCATTCCATAGCGTCCAGGCACAAAACCAGCAAAAAGTCTCTTAAAAGAACTGAAAAGAAACTTGCTTTAGACCCAAGGTATTAAAGAATTTTCCCCCAGTGAAAGAGAAGTAAAGAATCCATACAGCACTTACTTTAAAAAACTATTACTTTGGACTTATTTTTCTGGGACTAAAAGAGAGCTGCTGGTTTCAAAGACAGAATACCTGCTCATCTTCTAGAAGAAGGAGACCTACAATTGCAATGTTGATGTTTCCTCCTATCGTTCCATCCTTGAACAAGGCAGACACCTGAAACAGACAGAAAAGTCACTGCAGCCCCACCAACGGCAGGCTTCTTCCAGGCAAGGACAGGCTGGAGTCCTGCTGCTGAGGTGGAGCCCCTGGGCTGCAGGGACGGAGCAGCTTTAATTGTCACGTGTTGCGAGACAGGTGTGAACACCCTGAACCACCAGTTGTTGAAGATTTATCGTGGGTGCCTGGAAGCAAATGCTGGAAGTAAAGTTTGGGGAGCAGGATTCACCATCATCAAATACTAATGAGAGGGTTACAAGGCCCCTGAGTTGGTCAGTGTCCTCGTTAGAATATGGGGAAGACAGGGACTTTTTTTATTATTATTATTCATATGTGCATACAATGCTTGGGTCATTACTCCCCCCCTGCCCCACCCCCTCCCTTACCACCCACTCCGCCCCCTCCCTCTCCCCCCCACCCCTCAACACCCAGCAGAAACTATTTTGCCCTTATTTCTAGTTTTGTTGAAGAGAGAGTATAAGCAATAATAGGAAGGAACAAGGGTTTTTGCTGGTTGAGATAAGGATAGCTATACAGGGAGTTGACTCACATTGATTTCCTGTGCGTGTGTGTCACCTTCTAAGTTAATTCTTTTTAATCTAACCTTTTCTCTAGTACCTGTTCCCCTTTTCTTATTGGCCTCAGTTGCTTTAAGGTATCTGCTTTAGTTTCTCTGCATTGAGGGCAACAAATGCTATCTAGTTTCTTAGTAGATTGGACTTTGATCACAAGATAAAAGCGAGAGCACACAGGGAGATATGAGGATAGGTAAGACACCTTTTTTGTTTTTTGAGACAGGGTCTTGCGTCATAGCCCAGGCTGGCCTTGAACCCTCTATCCTCCTGCCAGTGCTGGGATTGCATGATGACAAAACACACCAAACACACTCCAAGCTCTCCTGGCAAGGAATCCCACATGCAAAAGAAATGCTTAGGATAAGACCGAGAAGACACGGGAAAGAGAGAGGCAAATGCAGTGAGATGATGGAAGAAAATCGCAAATAGGACGATGGGACACAGAATTAGAAACGAGGGACTAGAGTGGCTGGGACAACGTGACAGTAATGGATGCCACAGAGAGCCCATTAGGTACTGAGGTGTAGAGATATTGGAGCAACTCTACAAAATGGAGGCAGGTACTTTTACCAACCTCAGGGCTGGACCCTGAGGTCCTCAACCAAGCATCACCTCACCTGTAGGGTGGGGCAGGATGGGTCCATCTCACTATTTTCCTCCGTCCCCAGAATTCAGTCTATCAAAGTGTACTAACTGCATGACTCCAGGGCCAAGAGACACATTTGGGAGCACTGAGTTTACTGAAGTAACTAATGTAAAACATCTTTAAAAACTGTCATTAAGCTGTTTTTACAAACACTTGGTGACCCTGGATTTTGTCTTCTGTGATCTAGGTTTCAGTCACAGGCAGCTGGGTTTAGTCTACCTCTCATCACCCACAATAATTACCCCTGCCGCCAGTTCGAGACAAAGGCACCCTTCATCTGGGATGATGATATTTGGAAAGGTCGTGCTGTTTTTCAGTTCGTGTAGATAAGATATTTTATATTTAACATGTAAGCAACTCCCCCAAAAGATAGGCATTTCTCTGTGGTCATCTACAATCACACATTAATGCTGAAAAATAGATTTCTTGCATGACAATGTCTTATCCTATTAGAGATTTCTACTACAAGAAACATCTATAAATCAACCCGACACATCACAGGCTGATGGACTTGTAGAGACAGTCAAATTATTTTTCCTCTTTGTTGATTCCTGAATTCTGAAAATGGTTCTTTGGATAGAAAGACTGAGAGTTATCACACAGAATATTTCTTACGTCTGAGACCCAAACCCCAAGTACAGGGTAGGAAGGGGAGAGCACAGAGCAAACCCAATGCAGGCTCACGGAGGTGGCCCACCATGTTGAGCACTGTCAGGACATAGGTGGTGACATTTCCATGGCCGTGGTTTTGCATCATCTTCTTGTCCACCACCACCAGTGTCTCCACGTTCAGTTCTTCATTTCTATGGGACTTCAGCAGGGAGCGCTTGGGTCTCAGGCAAGACTTATACTCATCAGGCAGGATGAAAAGGTCTTCCCCAGGAGGCAGGGGCAAGTCTACGGAGGAACACGGATGAGCAAAGGAAGGCAAACGTCATTGCACAGAACCAGAGGTGTAAATGGTCCTACAGAAATTTCTTCTTAAAAATGAAGAGATGCTGGGTGTGGTGGCCCATCCCTCTGATTTGTAATCTGCACTCAGGAAGCGGAGGTAGCAGTCTATGCTCACTACCATTGGGGTGCATAGTGAGACCCTGTCTCTTAAAAAACAAGCAAATGAACAAGCAAAAAACCTTATGGCTGTGCTCTGGTGAGTCATGCCTGTAATCCTAGCTATTTGGAAGGCTAATATCAGGAGGATCATGGTTCTGGGCAAACCCAGGCAAATAGTTCTCGAGACCCCATCTCCACAATAACCAGAGCAAGATAGACTGGAGGTGTGGCTTGAAGGGGTGGAGTGCCTGCTTTGCAAGCGTGAAGCCCTGAGTTCAAACCTCAGTCCCACGAAAAAAATCTTTAAAACTCTGTGATGTAAAACTTATGTTAAATTTGGAACACCAGATGTAAGCACAGTTTGTATAATCTAGGTGTCATGGATACCATGGTTGAAATTACCTTTACATTATTTTAGCCTGATTTAAAGCAAGAGGGGGGTTCCAAGTCCTAGCAGCTGGAAGCAGTGTCCAAAGACTACCAGGACATTTGTGGAACAGGACTCTTGAACAGCAGTAATTGACTAAGAAATGTAACTCACAGCTACAGAAAATTACACAGGCTTACATTCCTGTCCTTTATGGATACTTCTGGTGACCTGGCAGTTGTTAGCGCTGATGACAACATCTGGACACATGGCTGGTTTTCTGATTTTCTGTCCAGTGGAGACACTGGACATAAACTGTTCATGGCAGGTCCACTCAGATCTCAATGGAAGGTGCCATGAGGACTTTCTTTATGTAATTAGGGCACAGTAACTGCTGCCCTTGTGGGGTGATGCCTTTGAAACATTTTTGACATTTATAATAGTTTGCACTACATTAAAAACAACCAGATTTAGTGGATGCTTCAAAAATGCAGTCAGAATTTTTTCATGTGAAAACAGACTTCAAAAGCCCCCACAGCCAGGTGACAGGTATGCAAACTGGACCATGAGGTACAGTGGAGGTAGATGATACTTCAGGGTACTTTTTGTCCAACTGGTACTCATATCTACTCCATTTTATCTCTCTTTGTCAAAATACAGGTTGGGCATCCCTAATCCAAACCTCTGAGCTCAGAAGTGTTCCAAAACCTGAGACTTTTTGAGTGTTGACATGAAGGGAGCAGTGGAAAAGTCTGCACCTTATCTCTTTCTAAGGGTCACAGGTGAAACACAGGTGAGTCAACACAGTGCATAAAATTGTTTTCAGGCTATGTGTTTAAACTGTATATGAAACAATGAATTTTGTGTCCCGTCTTGGGTCCTATACTCAAGATAGCCTATTATGGATATGAAAATATTACAAAATTTTTAAAAATTTTGAAAATGGAAACAATTCTGGTTCTAAGCATTTCATATGAGAGATACCCAGACTGTACCTTAAAACCTGAACAAAACTTTTGAAGAATAACAAACCATGGCCAGCGTGGATGGAGCACTTATCACCCACCATACACATTGATGTAAGCTTAGCAGGTGTGAACGCCATGTCGGGAGCTGCCTCTGTGTCACTCCCCAGTCTACCCCAGCCCCTGTGTGGGATGGTGGGTGTGGGACCATGGAGTCAGAAGGAAAGAACAACTTGCTCACACCCTTCCTTAGAGGGTGTTGGAAAGGGTTTCAGGTCTGGGTGGAATGGCCTAAGAGCCATTGATGGGAAAATGTGAGTAGATGAAGACAGGGTACAGAATAGGGCAAAGCAGCTGCAGGGCTCAGGACTGGGTGCAGGGGCAGGTGCTCCATGATCTCACTGGCTAGGGCTCTCACAAACTGCTCACCCTTGAGGATAGGACTTGGAGCAGTGT